CTCTTCACTCTATCTATCTCTGCAATTCTATCTTTTTTTGCTGGTTTCATTTGCGGGCTTATATACTAAAAAGAGGGCGCCTGGCAAACACTCTGACATTCGCAAGGTTCCTCGATAAGTCATGATCCTTCCAGAAACTCCAGCGCGAATGCTCCCAGCGTCGCGTGACTCCCGCTGTCGATAACAATATTTTTATGTCTTTCTGTACGTGTATCTGTTATTCTTTTTTTTTGGTATATTTTTTCTCTTAATATTTGACATTTCTCTTACTTTTTTTACATATGAAGAAACTAAGAAAAGTTTAATATAAAGCAGATTTTTAGCAAAGATAATAATAATATTGCTCTTAAGGTTTCTGTTCTTGACACACTTTATTAATAATTGGGGAAATTAAGAAACCGCTCAAAGACTTCTACATCCGAAGCTTTCTTATATGTTTTAACTGTTTGTTTTTAATTTCACACCTTGCCGTCCCTAATTTAGCAGTGTAAGACTAGAGGGAAGGCAGCTAGTCATCACCACCCACCGCCAACTCTTGGGCTACTCTTTTACTCACTTCCTTTTTTTTAGCTCGACCACTCGCGAATGTGAAAACTGAAAAACTACTAGTAGTTTGAACTCTTCAGTTAATGCGCTAATATCGCGAACAAGAAAAAAAGTTACAGTCAAGTCCTAAATGCAACATAAGAAATGCTGAATCTAAATAATTAATAACATATGGGGGGAGGGCATTTTGCTTTACTCTTTGAAGGTTTGCACTAGAACCAAAAAGCAAAAAAAAAAAACGACGTGTTCGGTATTAATTAAAGCTAAACAGCCTTAACTACTACATCAAAACAGTTTCCACAGCTACGGACATATAAAGCGTCTCTGATGACAGTCTTAATCACTGATCCAGCTTGGCTGATGAAAACTGAAATTACAGTCCTCAGCTCTTTATGATACTGGTTTCGTTACATAATCTAATACTGTTTCATATTACAACATACAGTATCAAAATAAGCTGTTCCATTTTATACGAGTAATCATATTATAAAATGTATTAATTCATTACTAATGCGAAACTAATCAGATTAATGAAATGGTACAATTCATAATCTTATAAGTTTTTGGACTTTTTTTATAAAAGTTATCGTAAGTCTTGGTTAGTTTAACCCCGGATTCTTATTAAAGAGACGACCTCACTTGGCTACCACCAAGCTACTTTATAATTATGCTAATAAATATATTGTATAAGATTGAATACGCCACACCGCCAGATTTTAATCCTTCTTACGAGATAGAACAATTTTTTTATATTTTGTATGTTTTTTTTTAAACCACATTGGACTATCTGCAGTTTCCATCGCAGGGAATCGAAACCCGGATTTTAGCGTTGTAATTAACGCTGTCTCATCGGGGGATAATTTTTTATGTCATATATATATTTGTTCAGAATAACTTTTAATTTTTTGCCACATCTCCAGCTCCAAAAAAAAATGTTAAGTGGGTTTTTAAGTTTTAAACTTAACACTCATCTGAAATAAATCTTCGAGATTACAGCACACAATAACAATGAAATTTTAGTAATTACACCCCCAGCTACAAGATGTATGATGTTTCACAAAACCGCCCCCCTCCTAAACAAAAAGCAACGATCTTTTCACGCTAGTATTATAAATAAAGGTATTAGTTGTAGATATAAAATTTCTACAAAGAGGTGTAAAGTATTATAATATTATATAGTCCTGTAACTTGCCGAAATTTGCCTGTTTCCCCTTGACAATAAAACTAATTATTCAAAGCCTATAAAATAGATGTATGAAAATAAATAACAAAACATAAGACAATTAAGACATTAAACACAAAGTATTTCCAAATATTTAGGTAAATTATGTCAATTTGCCATTTTTTCATTGCTTTACTATGTACAACAATATAAAATAAACATTGTTATCCTTTATTAACATTAGTGCAGTTATTCCAAATTTTTAAAAATGCATGGTTTTGGAAACGTACGAAAATTATTTTATACATTGATAGAGAAAAAAAAGTTACTGATGATTTCAATACGTTTGCATGAGTAACTGTTTCGTGAACAATTATATTATCAATCGTGTCTTTACAATATTACCTACACGTTCCAATAACTTGTTTATTTGTTATTTTTTCTCTTAAGCAGAATGGGCTATCTGTACTGGGCCAACTGGGAAGATTGAACTCCGACTTATGGTGTTATAAACCCCAAGTTCACCGCTAAGTCACCATGAATAACCAATTTTACAAAAGTTTGTTTTAAAGCATTGGGCTATCTGCTGTGTCTACCGCGAGGAATCGAACCCTGGATTTTAGCGCTGTTATTCCGTAAACTTCCGCTGTTCCACCGAGAGACTTTTCCAAAACAACAGTTAACTGAATTCATCCACCATGTACATAAAGCGAAACTAAGATTATGTTTGAAAAAATCAGAGCACGTCAAATAACATATCTTGACAAACATACAATCATCAATGTAAAAATAATAAAGATGTACATTATTTAATTTGAGATGCAAATTCTAGGATTTAAACGCATTTATTAACTAATTAATATTTTATTATATACATACGACATCATTAGTAGCATGTATTTCTCTTTGCAAGGAAACTGACGACACAAAAAATAATTTGCAAATATGTAATAAGTCGTGTAATAAACATATAATCTATAAACCCAAGATAGAAAAAAAAGTTTTAATAATAGATTACTTACAATGTCTACTGTGTCTTAATACACATTGTTACAGTCAAGCAAAGTTCATTCATATTACGATAAAATGCAGTTAGAGGTGGCGCTCACTTGTAATTCAAACAGTATATCGTTTGCTTTAGAGCTGAAAAAGATTCTAAGAGTGTTGCAATAAAACCTAAAAGCAAGCACTTACTCCATAAAGGGTCACAGTCAAAAGCAAGTAGATGTTCCGGAATTAATTAATCTGGATAAAATAAAACCAACATCAACTCTCTAACATTCATTCAACTATAACCTCTCCAGTTCTGAAAAGATGAATAATATGTTTATATGAACAAAAGCAGTATATTTCTTTTTAGATCAAGTTTCACACAGCATAAAGTAAGTCTCAAGTATAAATGTTGGTAAACGCGATTGCAAAGCAGTAACTAACTACCTCTGCACATGGCGCCATATATTCTGTTGCATGACCTAGTACCAAACCCAATCGCTCATTAGAATAATCACGCCCAACAAAAATAATTACGTTACCTAATTATGATCAACACGCAACGTATCAATAAATTAAATGTACTATGTTACACTGTATCACATAGTATCGGTATATCGTAAACTTTATTCCAATTATTTTAATTAACGCATACAAACAAGTACAATTACCTTATCATGTACTGCAATCACTTTGTTTTCTCTTATATTTATGTAGAAGCCTATTATTATTAAGCAATTTTTATAACTTCCAAGAACTTAACCCTAAGTTATTACATCATTTCAAGATCAGATTAACTCGTTAACACAAACTGTAAAAATGATTGTTATTAATTACACCGTACAAAAGCATGTAAGAATCCTCATTTCATAGGATTCGTTTGAACACACCTCCAGTACTTGTACATAGCCTAGAAAACATAGCCTGCTTTAAATCAACAAAAAATAGTACTACTACTCCTAGTTCAGATCGTTAATGGTGTCTGTATGTAGCACACTAAAATACGCCTAGAAATAGTCCTCTAGCACGGATTAGACAAATTTATTTTTAGTATGGATTAAACATTAATCGACCATAAACATAACCAAAAACACTGTTCCAACAACACAAATGTTTCTATTTTTGCTATAGAATTTAATTATTTGAAAAGTCCACATACCTCTTTTACAGTAACAAGCTATTCTTAGCAAGAACTGTGAAACCCCTTACTTAAATTAATTAAAGTAGTGCCAACACAAACGGGAAGTAGCAAGCAAACACCTATGAGTACCAGAGAAAAAGTAGTGCACAAAATTACTCCATAAATTAATATATTTGATAATAAGTTACTACATTGAAGGAAGTCACCTTATTTGTAACCACTAATGTTTTCTTTGATATGAGTTTTTGTGGTTTTGAAAACTTTCTATAAGTCAAAACACGTTATACTGTCCGTGCTTTAAGCTGACATGCGTAGTATATGACGTCAAACGACTAGGAGCCCGCCCAGTTGTAGATGTCTCAATACAGACTCGCTAACAAACATGCGTCAGAAGACTTGGTAACCGCGTGATCAGAGACAGAAAAAAAATAAGAAAAAACGTATACATTCTGTTCATAGACTAAAGAGAAATATTTTAAATCTAACATAAATAGACGTGGAAGTTCAAAAATACAAAACACTTTGAAGTCTGCGTTACATGTCAATGAACACTTTTTTGATGAGAAAAATTATTGGGGAACTAAAAGAGAAGAAAAAATAAAATGAAGACTGTGTCTTGAATGTTGAATGTATGCTTTTACGGATAATGTGAAATAATATGATAAATAAATTAGAGGCAGAAAAAAGCTTAGTTGTGGCATTCTAACAAGATAAGAGAAACTTACGAAGAAATTATGATCAGGTTCAAATAGAGAGGAAGGAAAGAAGGAACGGGTTAGAGAGAAAGAAAGTATGAAGATATGACTAATTGGAAAAGAGGGAAGTTTAATATTATGAACAACAAACTATGATAAGATGAATAGGTGTATGGGGAATATGTTATAAGTAATAAGAAGTAAGGACCAGTACCGAAAACAAAAACGAGACAGAAAGAAAAACTAGAAAAAAACGGCAAAGAAGTAAGACAGACAATAAATGGAAGAATGAAGTGACACATGTGGTAGGGAAAAAATTGACGTTTAATTAAATCCCACTATTTGTTCAATTCTAAAGATCAAGTATTAATTAATAAAGTTTGATAAGAACATAAGATCATTTTCATTCAAGCTGTCAGACAGAAAATAATATTAACTGTTTGTTTATTTGAAGTTAAGCACAAAGCTATACAATAGGCTATCTGTGCTCTGCTCACCACGGGTATCGAACCCCGGTTTATAGCGTTGTAAGTCCGCAGATATACGGCTGTGCCACTGGAGGCCAAGCAGAAATGAGTAGTAAACATGTATTTGTTAATTGCTATATACGAGTCATATTCCCCATTAATATCTGAAAAGAAGTCATGTTGATCTTCAAGTGTTACAGCTAGTATTTGGCCTATTTTACAGTTTAAATTAAGACGAGCGCTCAATGAAATTTTGGAGAAACAAAAACGAATACTTACCCGTCTCTTTGCTTGTAAACGTTAGTTTCATATGAAGAGATGCTCTCACCTCGATAAAACACAACTATACAAATCTACAGCAGTTGGGAATATAGAAGAATAAAGATGTAAGAAAATAACTTCGTTAAAGTTTCATCAGGATATCGTGGGTTTATGGAGATAAACAATAATAAAATTCTGTTTCTTGGCTTCAAACGAAGTAAGTCAGGATCGATAGCTTGTGCATCAATAGCTGGATGAAAAAACTTGTAGAACCCTCGCCAACAGGTAATACGAGCTTCGTTTCTTAGTTTCTCGATTCACATAGATTTTCAAGGACAGAATACTACCTATTTACCATCACAGATATGTAAACTAAAAATAGATTTCAACTCCCCGTCTTCAATCTCATAAGTACACATGGAGATAAAATGCTGTCCACCCTCAAGGCTCATGCAGGTTTCAAAACGTTATATTTAGATGACCTCGAGAAAGCTCATTATATAGAAAACTAATCTAAAACATTTAAAAAATAAGAGATTGGATTACTGGTACATACTCTAATTTTCATTTCAGCAAAAGACTAACTAAAGTAAAGTAAAATGTATATTTCTTCCTCCTGCACAGAGCAAACTTCTATACGCTAAATACACCGTACCTAACGAACACTTTTGTTACCTTTCTTACCACCTGAGCTATTTCACTTAAGAAATCCCTCGTGGGTACGAAGAAAGCAACAGCTGTGCTGATGGTTCGCTATGACCATAAAGTTAAAATTGGTAAGAAAAACCTTCACCTGGAAATTAGTGATGCACTTTCATTTATAAAATAAAGTTTGGAGACGGCTTGAATAGGTAGCTAAGGAAACTTCATCATCAGGTACAAGTGGCTTAGATCAAATCTGACTTCACCATGAATCTCTACTGCATGTTGTTAACAAGAACAAACGTAGAGTAGAAAATAACACCAAACGATTAATTCGATTTCTTGTTAAATGGGGGACTAACGTAATCGGAAGTTTTAAACTGAAACTAACACTTACTTGTCGGTGACAACTTTTCCTTTACTTTATGGAGAGAAGAACACGGTACTTGCAAGTGGGAAAACAACTAAACTACTGTCAAATGTTTAATACAGCCTAAACTTGCAGGTGACAAAATGTGACTAAATTAATGTTACCCGTTTAATACAGTTGAACAGCTACGGAAATTACTGATAACACAATAATTTTTTACTGATAGTCTGTTATGTGAAAATTATCCATGTACAAAGGATTTGGGTTCTGCTATTTGAGAAACAACTCAGTTTGGTCCTGATTTATGATTTACGTATAAAACTAACAGAGCATTAAAAGAACAACACTAATTTACTCTTTCAGAACTGTGTGAATATTTTGTAACAAGCTTGAATCTATTATATACACACTCGGGCTTAAAACGCGATTGCTTAGAAGAAGAATCACTGTAGTCTAAATTTATGGTTCGGTTTTTTGTTACTGTAGAGAAGCCTTAGAGTGAATCCCGAGGTTTGACGTATGGCACCAGATCGATCCATTACACCAATCCCTGTAAATAGCCACGTTGCAACCCTTTTCTTTATCAGTTTTTTCGAGGTAGATGTTTGGAACGCCAACCTGTCTTGTGAACTAAAGAACAAGTGTATGCTTGTTTTTTGTTGTGGATTTGGATGAAATATAAGTTTTTATAGAATATCTGCTCTTCTGATTATGTTTTTTAACTTGCTTTTAATATGATAATATTTTATTACCCTGCAGTGGTATTTTAATTTTTCATGTTTCACTTATATGATGATGACACACTCACATACATGTATTTACGACAGCACACTTCGTATTTATTATTATGTTTTTGCTGACTTTGTTTCTGATAAGACATTCGCAGAGTAAATGACCTGTACATGTTGTCACACGATTTCCGATAAAAGTGTCTTGTCAAACATAGGAACATCATGCACGAACTTCACTTATAACTGCTGTTCCAATGTTTAACATAGTTTCACTTTATGATGTAAAAGAAACGTGATTTATAGTGCAGAGTGGAGGTCTTTACCATAACTTCTGGCCTGGCAAGGGAACTCTACTCGCAATCTGCGAGCCGCGAGTTCGAATCCCCGTCCCACCAAACGTGCTCGCCCTTTCAGCCGTGGGAGCGTTATAATGTGACGGTCAATCCCAATATTCGTTGATAAAAGAGTAGACCAAGAGTTGGCGGTGGGTGGTGATGACTAGCTGCCTTCCCTCTAGCCTTACACTGCTAAATTAGGGACGGCTAGCGCAGATAGCCCTCGTGTAGTTTTGCGCGAAATTCAAAAAACAAAAAAAACAAACCATTGTTTCTCATAACCTGTTACTTACTGGCTTGTATATACACT